GAGAGAGAGAGAGAGAGAGAGAGAGAGAGAGAGAGAGAGAGAGAGAGAGAGAATAATATGCCATAAAAGCTCTTTCCAGCAGAACCATAACAAAACCTATCCTTGGTAAGGGAGTTCATTGAAGTACACCAAGGTTTGATGTTAAATTTGCCCATGATTATAAAATATGCAAAGCTATCAGCAGTGCTTTCCTCCAACAGAACATGACATCTCCATTCTCCAATCAGGAGGAAGTGTTTCCTGACCAGCCACCCTAGAGGCTGCCCTCCCTTCTTCTGTCATGTCCAAGTTCCCCCGTGGAATAAAAGAGCATGACAGCTCAGGCCCTGAGCATGGGAATACCTCGATTGATGACACCACACTCAGCCACTAGGGTATAAAAGCGGTTATTGTTTCCATAACTGAGGTCTCTGGAGAGAGTAAGGCAGGCTTCTCAACTGGGCATGAAATAGCCTGTGAGAGGAAGGAAAGGTGCATGGACTCACCTTTTTTTTTTTTTTAATTTTATGAGGTTAGAGGGTGGGCTAGGGTGAGAGTTCACACACAAAGGCAGGAGCTTGTGTGAATTCCATCTCTCCTACCCCAAAGGATGTAGCACTAAGGCTTCATCACTTTGTACAAATATGCGACACGAGAAAGGAGGGATGAGGTTCTAAAACTGTCAGCAATGTGAACAAAAAAATGGAGGCCCACTGTCATTTCCAGCCTCACACACACAAAAAATACAAAAACCCTTGAACGTCTGGTTTGATCTATAAGAGCATTTAAATCACAATGCATCATGGTGTCTTTAAAACATGAAAGAGAAAATAAAAACGACATTAAAAAAATGCCCCAGGGCCGGCCAAGTGGCTCAGTTGGTTAGAGCACGAGCTCTGAGCAACAGGTCGCCAGTTCGATTCCCACATGGGCCAGTGAACTGTGCCTGAGCTGAGCTGTTGCTGAGCTGCCAATGGCTGACCGGATGGCTCAGTTGGTTAGAGTGCATGCTCTTACAAACAAGGTTGCCAGTTCAACTCCCACTGACTCCCCCACGGAATGGTGGGCTGCCCCCCCCGGCAACTAAGATTGAACATGGCACCATGAGGTGAGCATCCGTGAGGTGCTGACTGGCAGCTGGATGGCTTAGTGTGCAACAAGTTTGCTGGTTTGACTCCCACATGGGATGGTGGACTACGCCTTCCCCTCCCCCCTCAACTAGACTGAAAATGGCGACTGGACTTGGAGCCGAGCTTGCACCCTCCACAACTAAGACTGAAGGAAAACAATTTGACTTGGAGCTGATGGGTCCTGGAGAAACACAATGTTCCCCTTCCCCAATTCCCCAACACTGTTCCCTTCCCCAATTCCCCAATAAAATCTTTAAAAAAAAATGCCCCAAATATTTTTTCTCTGTAACATTGTTTGTAACATGGCCTGTACTAAAAAAAAATCTATTTCAGCAGAGTCTCATGCAAAGATAAAAAAGAAAAAGGACAGAACACAATATTCATCAACCATGGGACAATGTTCTTTAACTTCTTTAAATATAAGGTTTAAATGCACTTAATAGGAATATTTGAAGGAAAAGATACAAACAGAAGAAATCACTGAAGTAACAACCACTGAGATTTTCCTAAAATTAATGATAGCTGGTACACTATACATACAGGAAGCTCAGAAAAAACTAAACATAATAAACAACAGAAATGTACACTGAATATCTTATACTAAAACTACACAAAAATGAAAGACAGAGAGCATACTGAACTAAGCAAGAAGAGTAAATATCTTAGTTTCAGAGAAACAAAAATTAGAATTAAATCAAACTTTTTTTTTTTTTT